TCATGTCTCTCTCAAGAGTGACTGCCCTGCACTATCAGGTGTTGATGTCTGAAAACTGTTGACTCAGTTACTTTTTCTATTTCTGGCTGTTTGTTTCAGGATAGAGAGTAAATCTGGCCCCTGGTACTCCATCTTGGCTGGAAGCAGAAGTCTCGCAGTTGGTAATAGTTTGAAAATCAAAATACCTGATTCTCTTCCTGTTTTCTGTTTCCCTAGAAAGTCTTTGCGGTACAGTGGATTACTGAGAATGGCCTTCTAGGCCCAGTCCTCCACCATGTGATAAATCCTGGCCTCTACGCTGTGGTCGTGGTCTTGCTTTGGAGTGAGCTGTCCGTTATGCTTATGAGGTAGGATGAGGGTGGGCTGTATCTTGAGTCACTGCCTTACTGGAGGGTGTGACTCGAGTCACCACCTGTAGTTTCCTTGAGCGTATATTTGTGAATTTTCTGGCAAAATTCTCTCTCTTGCTCTGGACCCTGCGTCTGGTTTGTCATCTGATGTCTGTTCTTAGGACTTGAGCCAGCAGCCAGTCATCTGCCTGATTCACCAGCTTCCAAAGTCCTGGGAGCCAGCAGTCTGTCATCTGGCTTGCCAGTTTGGGTTTATTGGCCCCTGTAACCATGCAAGTGAAGAGAATCCTTCAGGCTGACCCATGGATTTGGGACTTGCCAGCCTCCACAACCATGTGAGCCATTTCCTTAATGGTTTGTGAGTTCTGTGAGATGTTACAGCAAATTACAGAACCCTAGCATGGGAAGGAAAGGAAAGCCAGGGTGGCCAGGACAGAGTGAGCAAGTGGCAGGGATCCTGGTAAGGGGCGGGCAGAGAGGGTTGGAACAGCCAAGGGAGACAACCTTGTCTGTCAGTTTCTCCTGCTCTCGTGGTGTGTGGCTGTGAAGCTTAAGGCTGTTCCACCGGTGTTTCAAATGCCAGCGGGGTTGCACACGGTGCACAGGTTTCAGCATGGCTTGCAGACTGAGACACACTAAGAAGAAGGAGGAAGCCATCCTCTTCTCAGAGACTTGCTCAGGGAAAACCTTATGAATAGCACAAAAACACTGTCTGTTACATTACGAGGCAACTATATGAGTAGCCTGTAAACATTGACACAGTGGAAGATGATGAGCCACTTGGGTTGGAAGGCTCTCAAAACAGGGCTGGGAAAGAGCTGTCTCATCAGAGTAGAAGTAGCCTTACTGACGTGGATAAAATACAGCTTTCAGGACTGCCTTCTGCTGACGTGGCATGGCTCAAACTGAGGAGAAACAGCTGCAAACATCTATGAATCACCGGAACATGGAACGTACAAAGTATGAATCTAGGAAAATTGGAGGTTGTCAAAAATGAAATGGAATGCATAAAGATTGATATCCTAGGCATTAATGAGCTGAAATGGACTGGTTTTAGCTACTTTGAATCGGACAACCATATGATCTACTATGCCAGGAATGACAATTTGAAGAGGAATGGCGTGGCATTCTTCATCACAAAGGATATTTCAAGATCTGTGCTGAAGTACAGTGCTGTCAGTGATAGGATAATATCCATATGTCTACAAGGAAGACCAGTTAATATGACTAAAATTCAAATTTATGCACCAACCACCAAAGCCAAAGACAAGGAAATTGAAGATTTTTACCAAATTCTGAAGTGTGAAATTGACCAAATGTGCAATCAAGATGTGTTAATTATTATTGGTGACTGGAAAGCAAAAGTTGGAAACAAAGAAGAATCACTGATAGTTGAAAATTTTGGCTTTGGTGACAGAAATAATGCTGGAGATCGCATGATAGAATTTTGCAAGACCAATGACTTATTCATTGCAAATACCTTTTTTTTCAACAACACAACAGCAGCTATACATGTGGACTTCACTAGATGGAGTACACAGGAATCAGATTGACTACACCTGTGGTAAGAGATGATGGAAAAGCTCGATATCTTCAGTCAAAACCAGGCCAGGAGCTGATTGTGGAACAGATCATCAACTGCTCATATGCAGGTTCAAGGTGAAGTTGAAGACATTTAAAACAAGTTCACAAGAGCCAAAATATGACCTTGAATATATCCCTCCTGAATTTAGAGGCCATCTAAAGAATAGATTTGATGCGTTGAACACCAATGACTGAAAACCAGAAGAATTGTGGGATGACATCAAGAATATCATCCATGAAGAAAGCAAGAGGTCCTTAAAAAGATGAGAAAAAAAGAAAAGACCAAAATGGATGACAGAAGAGACTGTGAAGCTTGCCCTTGAGTGGAGAGTAGCCAAAGCAAATAGAAGAACTGACAAGATAAAAGAGCTAAACAGAAGATTTCAAAGAGCAGCTTGAGCAGACAAAGCCAATTACTATAATGAAAAGGGCAAAGACCTGGAATTAGGAAACCAAAAGGGAAGAACATGCTTGACATTTCTCAAGCTGAAAGAACTGAGGAAAAAATTTAAGCCTTGAGTTGTAATATTGAAAGATTCTATGGGCAAAATATTGAAAGATGCAGGAAGCATCAAAAGAAGATGGAAGGAGTACACAGAGTCACTGTACCAAAAAGAACTGGTCGATGTTCATCCATTTCAGGAGGTGGCATGTGTTCAAGAACCAATGGTATTGAAGGAGGATGTTGAAGCTGCACTGAAGGAAACAGTGAAAAACAAGGCTCCTGGAATTGACAGAGGACCCATTGAGATGTTTCAGCAAACGGATGCTGTGCTGGAGGCACTCAGTCAGCTGTGCCAAGAGATTTGGAAGACAGCTACCTGGCCAACTGACTGGAAGAGGTCCATATTTGTACCCATTCCAAAGAAAGGTGATCCAACAGAATGTGGAAATTATCAGACAATATCATTAATATTGCACACAAGTAAAATCTTACTGAAGATAATTCAAAAATGGTTGTAGCAGAATATTGACAGAGAACTTCCAGAGGTGCAAGCCAGATTCAGAAGAGGACGTGGAAGGAGGGATATCATTGCTGATGTCAGACGGATCTTGGCTCAAAGCAAAGAATTCCAGAAAGATGTTTACTTGTGTTTTATTGACTATGCAAAGTCATTTGATTGTGTGGATCATAACAAATTGTGGATAACATTGAGAAGAATGGGAATTCCAGAACACTTAATTGTACTCATGTACATAGATCAGGAGGCTGTTGTTCAAACAGAACAAGGGGATGCTGCATGGTTTAGAGTCAAGAAGGGAGTGTGTCAGGGTTGTGTCCTTTCACCATACTTATTCAATCTATATGCTGAGCTAATAATCCGAGAAGCTGGACTATATGAAGAAGACCGTGGCATCAAGATTGGAGGAAAAATCATTAACAACCTGCAATAAGCTGACGACACAACTTTGCTTGCTGAAAGTGAGGATGACTTGAGGCACTGACTGATAAAGATTAAAGAATAGTCTGCAGGATGGATCACATCTCAATATAAGGAAACAAAAATCCTCACAAATGGACCTATAAGCAGCATCATGATAAATGGAGAAAAGATTGAAGTTGTCAAAGACTTCACATTGCTTGGTTCTACATCAAAGCCAATAGAAGCAGCAGTCAGGACATTAGAAGATGTGTAGCACTGGGCAAGTCAGCTGCAAAAGACCTCTTTCAAGTGCTGAGGAGCTAAGATGTCTCCTTGAGGACTAGGGTGTGCTTGACACAAGCCATGACATTTTCCATCGCTTCACATACATGTGAGAGCTGGACAATGAATAAGGAAGACCGAAGAAGAGTTGATGCTTTTGAGTTGTGGTGCTGGCGGAGAATGTTGAAAGTACTATGGACTGCTAAAAGAACTAACAGATCTGTCCTGGAGGAAGTGCAGTCGGAATGCTCCTTGGAAGTGAGAATGGTGACTTTGTCTCACCTTCTTTGGTCATGTTGTCAGAGGGGACCATTCCCTGGAGAAGGATGTCTTGCTTGGTAAGGTGGAGGGTCGATGAAAGAGGGGAAGGCCCTCAATGAGATGGAGTGACACAGTGGCTGCGGCTTTGGGCTCAGGTACAGCAGGGATCGTGGGGCTGACGTGAGACCAGGCAGTGTTGCATTCTGCTGTGCATAAGGTTGCTGTGAGTCAAAGACGACTCGGTGGCACCTCACAACCGCAACAACAGCACAGGAGTGAGAATAATGCGGGGAAGAGGAGGAGCTGATGTCGGGGATGATGGAGTGGTAGAGCTGTATGGAAAAGTGGACACTGAGACGTCTCTAACCTCTGCCTCCCAGGGAGATCCTTCTAAAAGAAATCATTTGAGCCGTCTTGATACGTAAGCCATAACTCTTCTGAGAACAGGGAACCCAATTTGAGTTGGTCCAGGCTTGGAATCTCATGAAGGTTCACAGTGAGAGAGCACAGGACACTCTTTTATAGATTAAGCAGAAGGAAATACTTCCAGCAGATAGACAGCATGCTTCTGAGAAGCACAAGGGAGCTCACCCCTTTGCTGATATTCAGTGGATTCTAACCTGTCTTTGCCCATCCTCTGGGGGGGTGCTGCCTGCCCATGTCCTGCATGGGTCAGCTCTCAGGACACACAGCAGGACACCCATGAGTGTAAGAAAAGATGGGAGTGGGGGGCTCACATCCCTTGAGGGGGTAGATCTGAAGAGTTTGAAATCTCCAGAGCCTACCTGGTAGATTAGGGTCCTGTCACCCGCAGCAACCCCACCTGCTATTATAAGCCCGTGGATGCGGACCCAACCCAGATTGCACTGGGGAGTCTAAGCAAGCCCAGCCTGGGGTCCCAAAGACCCCGTGGTCTCTGCAGTACCTTTGAAGACGCACACTGGGCTTACTGGAAAAACGAATCAGGATCAAGCTGTCCTGAATGATGCGGGAAATAGGAAGGAGCCTGGTGGCACAGTCGGTAGACGCTTGCCTGCTAACCCGAAGGCTATTTGTTCAAAATCAGCCAGCAGCTCCTCAGGAGAGAGACCTGGTGGCCTACTTCTGGGGAGATTTTGGTGTCAGGTGCTGTCGAGTTGGCTCTGGCCCCTCCGACCCCATGACCATCGGGACGGAGCACTGCTCATCCTGTGCCACCCTCAAGGCCATCGTCAAGCTTGTGCCCATTGTCGCCGCCACTGAGTCAGTTCATCTCATTGAGGGTCTTCCCGTTTCCTGATGACCCTCTACCTGCCATGATGTCCTTCTCCAGGGACTGGTCCCTTCTGACAACATGACCAACGTATGAGAGACAAAGTCTGGCCATTCTGGCATCTAAGGGACATCTTCCAGGACAGGTGGGTTCGTTCTTCTGACAGTCCATGGTACATTCAGTGCTCTTCACCAACACCACAATTCAAATGCATCGGTTCAGCCTAGAAGCCCTGTGGGCAGTTCTCCTCTGTCACGTGGGGTTGCTCTGAGTTGAAATGGGCTTGCTGGCACCGAACAGCAGTACAGGCCCCAGCCAGAGATGTGGAAGGGAAAAACGCAGAGACACCCGTCCCGTGCTGTGTATGTCCTGAACGAGAACTAATGGGATTCTCTGATGGATCAGATGTGGAGTGTGAGGCAAGGAGAGGAGTCAGTGCTGTGGACAGAGTCGAGAACACTGGAGGGGCCATTTGCTGATCCGAGGAAATCCAAGACAAGAGTGGGCTTGGCATTGGGTCATGTTGGGTTTAGGATTGGGTCATCCACATGGAATGCTGCATAGAAAACCAAATACATGAGTCAAGTTTAGGAGAAAAGTCTAGGCTGGCCTTACACATTTGGGAGCTAGTGTTTGCACAGCTGTTGTATATTGAACTGTGGAGGGTGGAGATGTGTTGGGAGCGGTGGTGGCTGGGTGGTAGGAGTCTTGCCTTCTGTGCCAGAAACCTGGGTTTGACTCCCAGCCGGTGCACCTCATGCACTGCCCCGCCTGTCTGTCAGCGGAGGCTGGAGTGTTGCTAGGACGCTGCTCAGGTCTGAGCGGAGCAGCCAGACTGAGACAGACCAGGAAGAAAGGCCTGGCCGTCTTCTGAAAATCAGTGAATGAAAACCTTGTGGGTCACAGCCATCTGATCCACAACCGGCCGCGGGGCTGGTACGGGACCCGTCAGTGTTCTGCCCCACTGTGTGCGGGGTGGCCGCAGATTGAGGGCTGGTGACAAGGAAGCTAACAACCACAAAAAAAACCCACCAACAACAAAGGGGTGTGGGAAGCCAGAGCCCACCTCTTTGCAGATGAGGCTGTCCTGGAGTGGGATGGGTCCTCATCCCGTCTGAGTGCTGTCCCATCAAAGAGGAGAGACACTGTGAGATACACGGGGGCAGCCGTGTGACACCGGGTGACTGGCAGCTGGAGACAAAGAAGTTCTCCCCCCTGGGCATCCGAGAGCAACAGGGTGGCCCTGCCAATGTGCTGATGTGCACTTTCTCGACTGTGAGACAGTGAGCTTCTGTTCCTTAAAGTCCTCCCCCCGCCCGCCCGCATGCTGCTGTGTCCAGCAGCCCCGGGAGACTAAGACAATGGCATGCAAAGCTGCAGGAATAACTCTGTCCACAGACTGCAGGCCAGAGATGGAGTAAATGGAGGCATTTCAGGTCCTCTGGAAAATGGAGTGTTGTGGAAAACATGACAGCAGGACGACTATTGCACCTGCTGGGGGGAGATGGGATTTGTACCTCACACCTCACGTCACAATAAGCTCCAGACAGTTCCCATGTAACCGTGGAGGTGGGCCTGTGCAAGCCTACACCTGTGCGCTCGTGTAGGAGCGTGGGCTCGGGGCGGAGTGTCCGACTCTCACCCGGGTATGAGCTCTGCGGCTCTGTGAATGCACCCACTCCTCGACTGTGAGGCGGAAAAAGGCACCACTGCCTCATGGATTAGTGAGGGGATAAGTGTTCATAGTGGTTGATCACTTGGCTGCTGACCGAAAGGTTGGTGGTTCAAACGCACCCAGCGGCTCTGTAGGAGAAAGACCTGGTGCTCTGCCCCAGTAAAGGTGACGCCTTAGAAAGCCCTCTGGGCCAGTTCTGCTCTCTCATGTGGGACCCCTGCTAGGCGGAATTGACTGCACGGCCCCCACAACAGCTTCAACAATGTGTCGATGTAGGGAGCACCAGGGAGTCTGAGATGATCAAGGAAGACGGTAAGACCACGAGACAGCTGCTTCGCACGAGGTATTTATCAGACCAAGATGATGGCAGCCGCTTGCGAGGGGCGGTCCCCACAGTGGCAGGTCTTCCAAAAGCACATGGAGCAGAGAGCCACCAGAGCGCTTAACCGTGGTGCCACCAGGGCTCTCTCAGACCAATTACAACAAGAGAAATGTGGAGAGCAAAGGAGGTTCCATGGCCCATAGGCAGGTCCTTGTGCAGTGAGTAGGGGTCTCCGGGCAGCGAGCTCCTGAAGCAGCAGCGGCCCTGACCCTGCTGAGAGTAGTTAGTTTCCCTGGGGCTGGCTGACGCTGGCTGCAGCCTCTCTCACATGATGTCTAAAGCAGGCAGGCTCTGCGTGGCTGGCGACCTGTTCCCTTGGGCTGTTTCTGAGACAGCTGGCAATGTAGAAGTTTGGGTCCTGCAGTGGTGGCATTTTGGGCTAATAGGCCTCGGCTTCCTGTAAAGAAGGAAGCAGGCTGGCCATCACGCAGAGGCCATCCTTAGTGCATTTAGTTCATGGGCAGAGTCCCCAAGGGAGCCCTGGGGCACAGGGTTAAAATGAAAGTCAGCCACCAACCAAAAAGCTCGGTGGTTCAAACCCACCAGCCACTCTGGGAGAAAGATGTGCTGTCTGCTTCCCTGAAGATTGACAGCCTGGGAGACCCTGTGGGGCAGTTCCACTCTGTCCTCTAGGGGCGCTGTGGGTCAGAATGGACTCCATGGCAGTGGGTGTGG